TCGAGGGAGGGAGGGAGGGAGGGAGAGAGGGGGGGGGGGGGGGGGCGACAGCGCTCTCCCTCCCTCCCTCCCTCTCTCTCTCTCTCTCTCCCTCTCTCTCTCTCTCTGCAGACGCTGCTTTCTCCAGCAAGTCTCCCCGGAGCGGGCGGCCCCGACGGACTGTCTCCCTGTGATTAATTCACCAACAACAGGCTGGAGACAGAGAGACGCTCCAGAGTGCGGGACAGGTGGCCGCCGCAGCGCTCTCGAGCCGTCTGCAGAGCGCGCGCGCGCGCACACACACACACACACACACACCCACCCACACACACACACACACACACAGTACGCCCGCTCGCTTGCACTCTCGAGACACCGTGCGATTGGTGCTTGCTTGCAAAAAAAACATTTTTTTGGAATTCCTTGGTCCGATTACTAGCATTTTCTGAGATACTCATGTACAGAGAGTGTCAATTTTTTTAACCCTATTTCCTTCAAGGGGAAATAGGCTCCGAAAAATTGTACACCCGAAGTCGAAGTTCATGAACTTCGGCCGAAGTTCAGCCGAAGTTCACTGAACCTAGCGATTTTGATTGCTTACTATAAGCGAGTCCCCAGCTTACTCAAAGCAGATATTTACGGGCCGAATTACAAAGATTACGGAGGGAAAATTTTGCTTTCATATCTCTTGATCAGGTCGAAGTTCGAGAACTTCACTCGAAGTTCCGCGAAGTTCACCGAAGTTCACTAGAGTTCACTAGAGTTCACTGAAGTTCACCGAAGTTCGCCGAAGTTCAAGGAAACGTACACCGAAGTTCAAGCCTATTTCCCCTTGATTTCCTTGGTCTTGCCGCTGAATGCGCCAAACACGATGGCATACTAGTAAATTTGCGCCTTAAGGCACACCAAGTTTTGGCAATCTCTGAAACAAATGAGTGCCAAAATCTTAATGAGCACAGTGGCCACTAAGCCACGCGCCGTAAAAATAGTTTCTTGTATCAAGACCTGGTCTTGAATGCCATTAGTGTTCTCCATACGATCCAAGACCGGGTCTTATACAAGAAACTATTTTTACCGTGCGTGACTCACTCGCACTCACAAGGATTTGACTATCATCATAGTGAGAAATTCTTGAAAGAAAATTTCCATGATGTAAAATTTCTATGCGTTGTAAAAATAAATAAAAAATTGTAAAATTAAAACCGCTTCGTGTCGACTTGGAATTATTTTGCGAGCAAAAACAGGTTTTCGTAAATTTACAACACAATCTATGTATAAATCGCAAATACAAAAAATAGGTTCTAAATTTACGAAGATATTTTTCACAGTGTGTAGAAAAACGGACACTGAAAAACTCTCGAGTTTGATTATCGGTGCACACGTTTCCTTCGACTCCCACCCACCCTGCAGTCCCGCAGTAGCTCGCTCGCATGTCTGCCCGTCACCCGGCGGCGGCACTCGCTGGCGGTCTGGAGACAGCAGGGAGGGGAGGGGGGGGGACAGAAGGAAAAAAGGAACAAAAACAACACTAAAAAAAACAAGAAAGCAAACCAGAGCGAGGGACAAACTTTGCGACGAACGAGGACGTCTCTTCTCCGCGCCTCGGGGCGGTGAGAGGGGACGGGCAGAGAGGGAGAGAGGGGAGAGAGAGGGCCAGAGTTAGTTAAAAGGAGCAGGGAAGAGGTCGGTGGAGCCTCTTTTCCGGCGAAAGGAAAATAAATACCTCATTAATGATGGGACAAAACGGCAATAGAATAAAGGCGAAATAATTTCCAATCGATCCCCACTCCTTTATTATCCCGACCGACCGCTGCCACCCCCCAGCGAGGCATTGGAGTGGGCGTTCGTTATGGGCTGAAACGGTAACACCCAGGAAATAGTTTCCTTGCCACTAGGAAATTGCTTCGAAATTAGCCTTGAATCGACAAAATTGACCAAAAATAAACATTTGTTTTTCTTTTCTTCAAGGAAAACTTTGCCTTGATTTGAATAAATATCTTGAGCTGAAAGAAATTTTGTTGGAACAAAAGCAAAATTTTCTGTTTTCGAGGAAACGATTCTCTGGGTGTGCCTCCCACGCTCATCTGCGGAAGTAACAACACGTCACATCGTCTGTACCCGTCAATCACGCAGCAAGCTAAAGAGAGAGGGAGAGAGGGAGGGAGAGAGGGAGGGGAAGAGGGAGGAGGGGAGGGAGGGGAAGAGGGAGGGGAGAGGAAGACAGAGGCAGGGAGGGAGGGAGGGAGAGAGAGAGAGAGAGAGAGAGAAGACGACAACAACACGCCCAGCTCGGAGAGCAGGGTGCGAAGCAAGCGGAGGGACGCTTTGATAACAAATCAGATTTAACAACAGCTAGTTTTAACCTTTAAATTTTGAACAACAATTTATTAAATATCAAGAATTTCGTATCGACTTATTGGGATTCATCGACGAGCAAGAATAAACTGTCGTAAATTTGCCACCCTACTTTTAAGTTATAATTTACAAAATATTTTGTAATTTTACGAGGATGTTTTTCCAAGAGGCGATGGAAGGAGCGGAGCGAAAGCAAAAGCAGGGTGCAGTGGGCTCGACCATCAAGCCCTCGGCTTTACCGGGGGATTAGAAGGCGGAGATCTACAAGGGGGGCTTGCGGACGCTCTGCGGAGGAGGCGAGACGACAGGATCGGACAGCGCTATGAAACGACGAGTTTTCGTCCAGATTCTTGCTCTTGCGCAGCGTGTTAGACTGTGCCTCGCGATCAAAATCTCGAGAAGTACTATAATTTTTTTGCTTCACTTCAGTTTACTTTCTGAAATGGAGAACCACAGTCTACACCACTTGAGTTGTAAAATCACGAAAGCGGAGGGCGAGCGACAATAATAAGGAAAACTTGCGATGTACATACTCCCACCACAGGTAGGGTGGATCTATAAATAATCGCGGGTCACATACGTCACATTCACATTATTAATTAAAAGTACTAACACGGAGTCGGGGGCGGGGAGCTCCCGAGAGGCCCACGCGGAGGGTGTATCAGCTGTAATGCGCAGGAGGTGATGGCGATGGGGGGGGGGGGGGACCACACTGCCAAAAGTGTACCCCGAAGTTTACCCCCGAGGTTCACCCTGCACAGGATATACCTTCGCTTTAGAATGATACTGCAGCTGTTTGAATTTTTCTTTTCAACAAACGATCATGTCAGCTTGATAAATGTATGTTCGTAATAAAATCCACCCTCACCAAATAATTCCTGATACGACAGACAAACAGTTGTACCGCACATCAAAACAAAATTTCGGCCAAATTTTTTTTTTTACAATCGAGTCGGTCAGTTTCACGGATTAATTTCATTTTTGATCGTGGAATTTATTTTCCGACGAATTTGTTGGTATACATAGCGACGGAGAGGCCAGCAGGTTCCCCGTGGGGGCGGACGCGACAACGCTGCTGTGGTAGGGTTGGGTCTTGTCCCTCACCACAGTCGGCACGCGGGTAGTCCCGCCGTTGCCAGCCCCGCACCACCACCGCCACCCTCACTCGAGCCAGAGGGGTGCAGCTCCCCCCTCTGCGGCCGCACCTTAAGCCTAGTGCCGGATGGTGGAGGAGAGGGTGCGGCGCCGGGGGACCCCAGCGCCGTCGTGCACTACAGTAAAATAACAAAGCTAGAGAAGTCTGTATTATCTAAAGCTAATGGACTAACGGTCACCGTCAGACTGACAAACTCCGAGCTCACAAAGAAAATGTGCCCGACGTTTCATTACCACCCAGGGGCAGCGCTTTGTTCCTAGAGTTAATGTAGACCAGAGCCTCGATTATACTTGAGTTGTAAAAATTATAACGAGGCGAGGCGATGCGCACTTGTAATTTTTGTCTTCACTGTGAAACGGATCCTCGTGATCATTCGGTGTAGTAATTTTTATTTACAAACTATGTTGTCAATTTTTTACCACGTCCCATTTTGTCGATTAATGCCAAGTCATTACGCGGACCGCTTGTAAATTTACAATTTCACATTGTAATTTTACGACACGCATCACGTACCCCTATTGCCCCGTAAACCCAGGACTAATATTTTCTTCTTATTTTTTTTTTTCTTTTGCATTTTGCATTTTGTGTTTGACAGTGTGGGTTAGTGGTCCGTCTGCGCCGGGCGCGGGGCGGAGCGGAGCAGAGCGGGGCAGGGGCCGGGCTGTGACCTGCTCTGGTCAGGGTGTGCGGGCCTGCGCCTGGTGCGCCTAGCCCCGCCGCCCTGCCCTGCCCCAGAGCAGTGGGCGGCGGCGGCAAGGAGGGTGTATGGCATCGATTACGGCAAGTACTACCGCCGCCGCGCCAGGCCTAGACTAGCCCTGCCAGGAGGGGGTGGGAACCAAAGGGAACCAAAGGCCAAAGGGACACTGCTCTGCCTGAAAAAAAAAACAAATTGAGGGAGGGGGGAAAGCAAGTTAGGAATTGTTGCAAGTTTCCAAAGACGAATCTCAAATGATATTTTGCCGCGTCTTTTTTGCAGCAACCACTAAGATTCTTGCCATATGCCTCTTTAGAGATTCCCGCGCGAGTTTTTCGAAATTTAAAGAACACGGTAAAGACAGGAAGGGGGCGTCTCCTGAAAAACTGGATGAATTTCCCCGCAAATTACTCCGCAAACTGATGGAAGCAGAAGTCGTATACGACGACCCGAACCATATTAGTCGGCACACACACGCCCTTTGACAACGACGCTCTCTCTCGTCCTCTTTGTCGTGCTCGGCGAGGAGTTCGCCATAATGTTCCCGTTCCGCAATGCCCCCCCCCTCCCCGCGAACAATAAGGGCCAGACTCGTCACCCCTCCCCTCTCCCCCCTCATGGCATCCCTCGCAACACAAGGGGCACAAGGGTCTCTCTCTCTCTCTCTCTCTCTCTCTCTCTCTCTCTCTCTCTCTCTCTCTCTCTCCCTCTAGCCGACGCAACAGGTCTAAAGGAGCGGCTAAGTCGCCCCACCCCTCCCCTTCCCCGCAGACCGGAAACCAACAACACACCCCTTCACGAAACCAATGGCGAGAGAAACGGCAAGCGACAGACATAGACCCCACCACCCCCT